TTTCCCTGCTCTGGCTGGTTCCTGGCCCAGTCTGGGTCCCTGGGAGCAAACAGGCAGGGACACCCGGCCAGGCAGGGGACACAGCGGGGACAGGAGCCGGGCTCATGCAGCTGGGGGAGAGGAGACCCCCCTTCCTGGGGTCTGGAGAGCTGGACCTGGACCTGGACCTGGAGCAGGAGCTGGTGACACAAGCTGGGACAGAGGAAATTCCCATTGGATACCTGGGAAAACTTCTTCTTCCAAGAGCACAGCAGCCCTTAAAAAGGGGCTGGGGAGTCCAGAGCAGCCCTAGCCACCCTCAGCGTGGACCTGGCTTGGGGCAGGGAGATGGGTGAGAGAGGCTGATGCTGGAGCTGAGGCCACCATGGCACCACACGTGTGTGTGTGTCCCCAGGACATGGCCTGGCAGAGCTCCCTCCTCCTGGCCATGCCAAACTCGCTCCCATGGTCAGTGTGGGCTCCAGCTGCAGGACTGCTGGGGGCAGGGCTCTGCCTTTGTCCTTGTGAGGTCCCCACTGGACCCTTCCTCCAGCCTAGCTCGCTTCCGTTGGTGGCAGCTCTGCCCTCGAGCAGGGTGCCTGGTCCCTGGAGATTTGGTGTTACCTACAAACCTGAGTGGGGGACCCCGGCACAGTGCCCTCGCCAGCTGCCAGTCCCTGGCAGAGCGCAGCTCCCCGAGCCACCCCCGACACCCACCGCTTGCCCACCCACCAGACCCCATGTCCCAGCACGGGCACTCGCACTTGGCCCTGGCTGGGGATGGGCTATGGGACATCTCTGCTCGCCCGTGTCCCCAGGCTGTCACTCATGGCAGAGGCAACGCAGCTGCGGGGGATCGACCCCGCGGCCCAGCCTGGCTGCTCCCGGTCACCCGCTGCTCCATCGCATGCCAGAAATGTGCCCCGGGAGGGCTCGTTTGATCCCTGGGGAGCAAGGGAGGCTGGGTGGCCTCCCCATCCCTGCACCGACTGGGGCCATTTGGGGATGTGGCATTTGTCTTTCTCCACCCCTCAGGGATGTCCCCCTGTCCCAATCACCGCTTGGTGGGGGGGGAGTGGGGGTGGCTGGAGTTGAGGCGTCTCAGGAGAGCCCCATCTTGGTTCTCCTCTAGTTTGTGTGTTTTTTCTTCCTTGAGCCCCATCTCCAAGTGCTTGTCACCCGCCTCTGCCCTCCCCAGCCCCAGTCTGTCCCCTGGGAGCCCCCAGCTCCCCAGGGTGCAGGGGATGCTCTCCTCCACCTCGCACGCTCCAGCCCCGGCTGGTCCATGGCTGCCTGACGCTCCCTGCACATCCAGGCAAGGTTTTAAAATTCCTCCTGTGTGGTCTGGCCCACCCTGTGTGTTCGTGCCCATCCCCGCCTCTCCACCACCCCCACCTCCCAATCTCCACCATGGCCTCCCAGCAACTCTGGACCAACCCCCAGGACATCCATGCCTCTCCCTGGTCCTGGGGGCAGCTCTGCTGTGCCCCCCTGTGGACACCGGCCAGGGAGCCTGTGAGTGTGCCGAGAGCTACTGCTCGACTCCGGAGGCCCCACTGCGAGCTGGACCTGTTGAGGGACATGAAGGGCAACAGCAACAAATCACCTCTCTGTGGTGACACCAAGCTGGAGCGGCAGCAGACGTGCCCTCCCGGCAGAGGTGGCCAACAGCACCCTGGGCTTTGAGGATGAGCTGGGGGAGGGAGGGAGCCCTCCCCTCCATGCAGCACGGGGAGGTCATGGCTGCGGAGCCCTGGCCAGGGGCTTCCTTGTATGAGGAGAATGTGACCCCTGGAGTCCAGGGAAGGGCCACGACAATGCTGAAGGGACTGGGGCGTCTGCAGGATGAGAGGCTGGGACCGCTCAGTCTGGAGCAGGGAAGGCTCAGGGCGATTGCGCCCATCTGTGTACATGCCTGGCGGAAGGGAAGATGGAGCCAGGCTCTTCTCAGTGGTGCCCAGTGACAGGCCCAGAGGCCATGGGCACAGGCTGAACCACAGCAGAGTCCACTAAAACCTTTTTCCAAAGTCTTTTTTTTCTAAAAAACCCCCACCAAACCACCCCACCTTTTTTTTTTAGGACGAGGCTGCTCAAACAGGTTGCCTGGAGCAGGCTGCCCAGAGAGGTTGTGCCCCCCCGGCTGTGAAGCCGCCATGGACTCACTGAGGGGCAGAAGGGCTCCAGTCCCAGCCCCCGCTCAGGCAGGGAGCTGCTCGTCCAGTGCTGCATCCAGTCTGGTTTCGAGTCGCTTCAGGAAGGAAGATGCTCTGGGGAACCCGGTCCCGTACAGTCTTCATTGCCAGTGCAGTCTTCCAGTACCAGGTTTCTCACATCTGGATGGAATTTCCTCCTCCAAAGCCTGGATGGGCACAGCCTTGTGCAGCCAGTGCCCGCTGGCCCTGCCCTGAGCAGGGGGGGGCAGAGTGGGTGATCTCCCAAAGACCCCTTCCACCATCTGCCATCCTGGCGTCCTGTGGTCGTTCTTGAGCTCAGCCTCAAAGGCCTCCTGGCTTTCCGCAGCTCCTTCGTCCTGCGTTGCCTCGTGCCAGACCCCACCTACCAGGACACTGAAACAAGCTCACCTGAGGTCCGGGGGCTGCACCCTGCTGCCTACATTCTTG